CTTTTTTAAATCAGAGCTAATTTGCATAGTTGGGAATTTTTGAGAATTCCCAGGAATTCCTAGGAATTCCCAGAAATTCCCAGAAAACTGGGAATTCAGTTTGCAAGGGTCATTTGCATAATTGGGAATTTTTGAGAATTCCTAGGAATTCCTAGGAATCCCAGAAAACTGGGAATTCAGTTCGCAAGGGGTTCCGCCCCATTTCATTTTCGACCCAGTAACTAGTCCCGATTTTGTGCATAGAAGGCTCCATTTATGCCTCTGGGTGAGCATATTTGATGATTGTAGGCCAAAGTTTGCATTTTACTTCTTGTTATTGACGTTGTATTGTATGCGCAGCCATCTTTCACCGGTGCGTGTAAAGCATGAATTCCAAAGAATGACTGCAGACATTTTATGCATTCAAGTTTTGTTCGCCAACTGTTTTCAATTTTGATTTTCATAGAATAGAAAGGTGCATTTTGCGAGCTTTGTAGAGAGACCTTTGAACGAGGTGCGTGTGAAGCATTTTTGCAAGTCGTGCTTTCCCGAACATTCCCATAAGCACGTGCCAGATTACGATCGAAATTTACAAAAGAGAAGAGAGAAAACCTTCAGTAAATAAACTTGGACCATTTGGAGAGAAAAAAAATCAAACAATTTTGTTTTGGAACACTCGTCAGACAGAATATGACGCAGAGAGTGCGTGGAAGAATTGGACAAAATTTTAAACCAAGTTCACGGCAAACGCAAACGGCAAATTTCGCCTACTTTTCTTCTTATCCCAAAGACCCAACAGAGAAATACATAAATATCTTCTAATTACAATAAACGTAGATATTTTTACACTATTGCTCTCAAAGCTGAAAGGCAGACGACAAAGTTCAGTTCTTGCAATTTGCCGTTCGCATATGCGAGGCGGTTTCAAATAAAGTACGTTATGTTATTGAAAGAAACTTCATGGAATGATACGAAGCTCTAAGCTTATCATGTAGTTAATAGCTGATATGTAGATTAAATACGTCAAAACAAAGTTTGTCTTTACAGCAATGATATGCACGCACCACGGCATCAGCCGTGTGTCCAAGAAGACCTCGATGAATTAATTAAAACACGAAATCTTTCAATCATAAGGTTTAATATCTTAAGAAACCTCATCATTTACTTAAAAATGCTGTTTCAAATCAAGTTTATTGAAAAATGTGCTTGAAAGGAGGTTCTTTGGACGGAGTCTCGGGGTAGCGCTCCCGAGCCAAACAATCAAATTTTAGACAATGAGAGCGAAGTGAGAAATTTCCGCAATACAAAATCTTTTTACTCCAACTATTACCAGCATTAACTGAACACTCAGTTTATGCTATAATGAATACCAGCAGGGAAAGAAGACTGCCTCGCAACTTCTCAGGTCGTGCTTGTATTTGAATGGACCACGAGCTAATTAATTAAATTTAGATTTTAGATATATGAAAATTCATATATTTGCACTGCGGTGGAGAGATGAAATTAAGAGATCCTCGCAGCTAAGAACACTACTGAAACGAGTAGTTGTAAATAGGACCTGAAAAAATTCAGGCCCGTACGGGATTTGAACCCATGACCTCTGCGATACCAGTGCAGCGCTCTACCAATTGAGCTAACAAGCCAACTGGGAGCTAGTCAATGAATTGGGTCCAAATAAACATCCAAGTGAATGAAGATTTTAGAGATATGAAAATTCATATATTTGCACTGAGAAGTAATCCGTGAGCGAGTCACGGCCGCATGAATTCAAACTTGCTTGATTCGAATTTGAATAAAATACATAACAACATGTTAGTTCTACAACACATCGCTTTAGAGACTCGCCTTCAATCACAAATAATATTTTTATGTTTTGTTCTCTAATAAAAGCATTATTAAAGCATTATGTATAAGCAAACACAAAAAAACACTAGGCACATCCTTGGCACGTGTACATGAACGTAAAGATAAGTTCGATAAATAGTCTACTTTGCATGAAATATACAAAATTCTTGTCTCTTTCCGTAAATACTTTTAAATATAAATTTAAATCTGTTGCATAAAGACAAACGTTAAAGGACATAAAATGTAAGTTAGACATAAAAACACATATATGATGAAGCGGGTCGAACTTGAATTTGACACGGGTTGAAGTTACACGGGGCGAAGATCAAACGTGGCGAATGAAACGGGGCGGAACTGGGGAAATTGTAGTCTCCAACCTCGATGCAACGTGGTTGTTTGTTTTTGTTTTGAACCACCGCTTTTGTTTAACTAGCGCCAAACGTCCGGCGGCCGGACACGCTCTGAAAACAATTAAACGTCCGGCAGCCCGATATTTTTCCATATTTCCCTTCGAAATCCAAATATTTATATGAAATGTTCTATTTTTATTTACAATCCTCAAGCGCTTCCATGCAGCCCAAAATTTCGAACTTGATACTTTCCGCCAACCCTGTATACAGAGTACAAAGCTATCCAAGCCCTTGACACTTAGGAACTTTTAAAAGACACGGCCGGACACGGTCCTCCAATAACTCCATATTTCTCTACATACCATATATATTTCCTTAGAAAATATTCTACCTTCATTTACAATTCTCGAGCGCCTCTAGAAAGTGAAAAATTCGACCTTTTTCCGTCTCGCCGACCCTGAACACAGAGTACGAAGAGATCCAAGCGTGACACTTTTTTTTCTTCGGACACTACCGGATATGGTCTTCCAATAACTAAACGTCCGGCAGCCTGATATTTTTCCATATTTCTCCTTGAAAAATACCAATTTCTATTGGAAAGTATTTTATCTTTATTTAGAATCCTCAAGTGTTTCTAGACAGTGAAAAAAATTTGAACGTTGTCCCTTACGCCGACCCCGCTGTACACAGTGTAAATAGAGATCCAAGCGTAACACTCAAAACATTTTTCATCGGATTCTGCCGGACAAAATTCAAAATACTGTAAAACTGTAAAATGACGAACCGCGAATGGCTTTACCGTAAAACATCGGACTATAAGTCCAGGATGGCTCTTGAGAAAAAGATTTTAGACGGTTTTCAGTAATCTGGGAATTTCGTGTTACAGGAAATTGGGTCGCGGCACGCGATGCATAAAGGGTGAAATTTCCCTTTAAGAAACTTATCCCATTTAGTCATTTATCTGAGCACACAGCTCATCTATCTATCTATCTATCTACATCTACTGATCGTAACTACCACATGTAAAAGCGCTTTTCGATTTTGGTAGCTAGTCGAACTCAAACTGAATGAAATTTGCCGAACTTTCTTTTACCTCAATCGGATTCCAAGTATGTACCATTCTATAACCTCACCTCCTTTGGGATCCGATCTTTTCTTCTCTTTTTTACCCAAATTTTTCAAGCTTTTCAAAGGATTGCTCATTATTATTCTCCCAAAGTTACCACAAATCCGTTTCGTTCTGAACTTCCTGTGTAAAGAATCCCAGCTAGGCAGAAACCGAATTTACTAGGAAACTTTCGAATTCTGGGTATGAAATTTTTCCTTTGGCAGAAACACAACTGCGCCATTAGTTCTAACGAGAATTCCCATTGGATTGAATTCTTGCTTTTCGTCCAACTAGATCAATCGTTACTTCTTCATTCACTTCCTTGTGAATATTGACAGCTTTAAGAAGAGACGGGAACCAAATTTAAGTTATCAGAACTAATCGGTGCTGGCTGGAACCGAGTACCGATTAGTAAGTAATCAGTCAGTAAGTCCAGTCTAATGTTTGACTAACACATTTTAAACTCGATGACATTACTTTCCGTATATACTCCATATACTCGAGTGTCTTGGTATACTCAATACCAGATGACGTCTAATCAACCTCTCGTCTTTCAAGTTCTTCTTATTTATCGACCAAATCTACCGCCTTTCAAAAAGATTCGCTACAGTTGCCGTTGATGGGGAAAAAAACTTGGAAATTTCAGCTGTTCAATAAACAGTAATTAACGAAGCCATGGGTGGAAAAGGGCTTACTGTAACATGACTGAGACTCAAAAAAATAAAAGAGCTTGGGTCAGTTACATTTTTCCAGCAAACTTTATATTTTATTTAGAAACATGCTGCGACACTTTCCATGAGCATTTCCGTTCAAGTAAATATCGAATCACGCATCCGAATTATTCATCGACAACGTACATTGATTACACCTTATACACAGTAAAGCTACAGCGTCAACTACCATTCCAAATTACTTTTGCGCTCTATGACCTAAACGACGCATTGAGTTATTCACGAATGTAATGGCGATTTCGCAAAGTTCACCACGCAGAGTTTTTATTTCTCCCTTCGCCAGTTGCTTTTACTATTATTTGGCAGGCTGCAATCCATACTTATGGTGAGCTGACCGATTCATTCTTCTAGCTTGTGGAGGTTACCGTAGACATTCTCGTTTCGCAAATCACAGATTTCCATTTCGCAAGTTACAGAATCATTAGCATATTTCCATTTCGCAAATTACAGATTTCTATTTTGCAAACATTAGCATATTTCCGTTTCGCAAGTTACGGCAAGCCCGCAAAAGCATGACTCTATGTGAGTTAACGACAATGGAATAAACAAACTGCGTCAGGGTTATTTCATTACGATGCATTACATTTTCATATAACCTTGCTGCTAACTTGGCCCACAACGTCTTTTTTCTTTTAATAATGACTCAACTTCCGCCTATTTTGATTAAAATTTACACTTTATGAAGAGAAATCAGGTAAAACGTGTTTTTTTAATTTATGATCATTTGCTTTCTTGAACTTGGTCGCCTGAGGGGGGAGGGGGAAATGTTATGGACCGGTCGCCTGAGGGGGGAGTGGTCGAGGGTTTTGGCTGGGTCACGATTAAGTTTACATGTTCCCCCTCTTAGTCTGTACAGTATATAATCTCTCATCAGCAATAATGCTTTTCATTATTGATCTGCTTCTATAACTTTCCGAAAAGGGTTTAACTTTATTTCATTTTAATTCTTGGTACAGGAAAACCCTCCAATCGACGATAAAAGAGAAAATGGCGTATGTGACACAAATGACATCCATAATTGTCTACGTTGTGTTTCATTTGATCAGCAGTCTTTTTATTTGCACTAGAGCAGACGTAATAAGTGAGTGCGCCAACGCCACTAGTTGTATTGGAACCTATGCTGACATCTACAAATCCTTAGCATCAGATGTGAACAGTTTTAACATCAAATCCGCCTTATATCCGGCAAATGAGCCTTCCTCAGTTCTAATCTTCTTCAATATATATGGTCAGAATGGACCAGATAAAACAGGCAACGATTCCATGCCTGCTGTAATGAAATACATATGGAGTTTGAGAAGCCTTTATGCTGCTTTTCCCGCTGTTTTCCTGGAGATCTCATCCCTCTTCTCGATACTGCTGACTCCACGCACGCAAGAACTAAACATCACAATTCCATTCTTTTGCTGCAATGTTTCTGTAAAAGACAGGAAAAGAATGATTAAAACTGTACTGGCTGCCGTAAGTATTTCAATTAGCTATTTATATTAGCACACAAAGTCCCATTCACGAATTCAAGATGTTAGCGCAATACTCAACGAGTTTGCTTAGAAATTCCGAAAGGTTTCCATCCCAGATATGAAGACTACTGGTCGTTCTTACTTCAGGGTAGTTTTGTGGTTTTCTTTCCTGTGTCCCGTGTTTTTTCCATTTTTATAGTTTTGGGTCTCACAATACTTAAAAGATGACACTCAATGTACATCGCTCTCAGTGGGTAACGATGAAAATCGTGGTAAGGTAGATTATGTTTGTCGTAGAAACGAAGAACCACTGATACGTTCAGTAACTTTATTTTGTTGTTTCCTGTTGCTGAAAGAGGTCATGTTTGTTTTAGCTAGAGTGTGGACATCCACCGAAATTTCAAAAAGGGGAAATATGTTGCGAGACTTAATTGTGCTCCTTGCACTTATACCAGAATGGTTAGTGATATGCTATTGTAACTGCCTTTTTTGTGAAGATTTGGATATTACTTCATTTTTGAGCAGATTACTGCTTATTATGTGCACGAGCTTGGTTAGTTACCATTTAAGCTGGGTTGTAGTGGGTATCCTGGTTAATCCAGCTTGGGGCGTTTCTATTTTGCTGATACTTTCCTTTATTTGCATTACCTTATTTTTTTAATCAATGAAACAACCCACGCAAATGACTACCGCCTTTCTACCCTTTTCGCATATATACTTGGTTTCTTAGTCTCTGCTTTGTTGTAGTCCCTCCAGTATTAGTTGGACAGTCATTTTATGGTCGCGAAACTGCAGATGATATTCTAAAAGCAGCGTTATTGTCTGTTATCGGTGCTGTGTCATGGCTGTACTTCAAATCCCGCAAAGCTTCCTTTGATACTTCACAGTGTGTGGAGGCTGGTAAGGAAGTAGCAGCTGCAGCGAGGGCTCTGGCCGTAAAAAAATCTGTACCTCAGCGTAATGGGAATGAGGTTCATTCTGCAATTGTGGCAGCAGCTATAGCTACATCCTCTGCAGCTGGTGCAGCTACGGCGGCGGCTGAAGCTATGGCTGTTGCTTTGGCTGCAGCCAAGACTGAAAATTCAAAACCTAAAGCCGCGCAAGGTGGAAACGAAAATAGCACCCCAAATGGAAATGGACTAAGCGAGGAGAAGCATCCCCTATACGAAATCCAAAGTGCCTCCGGACGTTAAAACATCGAGTCTCCATAGCTTTGAATCAATGTTGGTCTGCTTCCCCACTTCCCCCTCCTTGCTCTTACCTTTCGAGCAGGCTTACTAAAAAAAAATTAATCCTCGCCTTCTTGCCTTAGTTTTAATGGTGATGGTCTAAAAGTTTATGTAAGAGTACCAAGCGTTCGCTCGTCAAAAATGCTCCTGTTTTATATTAAGGACAGATAATGATATTACGCTAGTGTTAACTAGAGGTAAAATTCGCTCCTAGGGGCTTATGTGGCCTAATACTTGTTTGACTTCAGTTTGCTTGCTCCTATACCTCTGTAGTGCAGTTTTTACTCTCGTGTCAGCCAGAATTTTATTAAATTGTGTTAGGCAGGAAAAGTCCTGAACATGGCGTTTTTCTCGGCATCTTACTGTAATATTATGGATAGTTTTCTAATCTCGAAGGGAAAAAAGAGCTTTAGTTCTTATTTCTTAGTTTATAACATTATATCGATTTCCTGTGACGTCTTTGGTACACACTCCATTGCTTTAGACCTCATAGAAATAAAAGTATGCAAGCAAAGACATTTTATCATCTTGTTTAGTCATACATTCGAACCTCCACTATCTCGGCTCTCGTTGAATATGACAATCTAATGAATTCCTTGCTGAAATAACTTCTCATCTCCCTTTGACGGCTAGCTCTCCTCAACATCCCGCATTTTCCACTGCCCTAAGGCCTTAGTGGAAAAGCTCTACTGTATCTGCTATCACTAGCGTTTGAACAGATTAAGAGGAAAACTTTTTGTAATTATAGAGCATACAGCATATCAGCTTGATGCATTTTGAATTCGTCTCTCAATGCAATTGTCTAAAAAACTATTCTTTTTCCTTAGTTGTAGTTAGTGCTATGATTCTCCGAGACTTGGACGTTTGTCATTAGGAATATCTTACGTCAACATTGTAAAAGTGTCAGTTTTATTTAGTCACAAACATCAATGTTTTCATAGCATGATGTTACTATAGTCTAAGTATGAAACTCACTTTCACTCTCATTAATTGTCTATGTATTTTGATTATTTTATATATTTCCTCTGTACTGCAGTTTTTACTCTCGTGTTTGGCAGGAATTTTATAAAATTGTGTTAGGCAGGAAAAGTACCGAACATGGCGTTTTTCTCGGCATCTTACTGTAATGTTATGGATAGTTTTTTAATCTCGAAAGGAAAAAACCTGTGACCCGAAGTTGTTCCTCTGCCTGCGGTGGCTTCGAGCTCCAAAAGTAAGTTGAAAAGGAAAAGGTTTGCTCCCGAACTCCCCATTAGAGAGTGAGCGTTTAAATGCAAATACGCATATCTCAGCTATTGATTCCAAGGTAACCATGAACTTTTTTAGGCCCTAAAAAGGATTCAAATCAACAGAAGAATTTCCATATCCCGTCCGCACAAGGGGCTTTCCACCTGAACAGAAATCATGATTTACCCGATAACAAGGAGAGCATCAACTTCTTTCATGTCCCAGCTCAGCTGAGAAATATAAACAAGGTCAAAGGTTTTTTTCTCTTGCACCACGGCGGGGTTTCTCTTCTTCAAAGACACTAACAGCCCTTCAGAGTTCGGAGATCATGATGTATGAAAACGTAGAAATCTATTGCATTTGGTGTAATTTTCCGAACACAAATGAAAGCTTAGTTTTGCTTTCAATTTCTTTCTTCTACCATATCTTTCTCACAAACTTGGAGCCAAAATCAGCACATATTTTTTTCCTGATACCAACTCTCTCCAGGGTGGTTCAAAGAACGGAGAATAACTGAAGGGGAGAGACTGGGACCAATCAGCGATCTTACACTTTTTTACTTTAATTTTTTGTAACATCTATACTCTGGTGCTTTGCCTTATCCCTTTAAAACTCAAATTTGATTTACATGTAACTTCTCACATCATCTTCATTTAGAGCCTCTTTCAATAGAAGGTGTTGATATTGGCATTTAACTTTTCTCGTTGTTCATGTTTGACTTGATTATTTGATTACTAATCAGCGACTGGAAGCGACTGTTGAAACTGTGAAACCAGTGAGGGGAATGTATTCTCAAGAAAACGTGAACCTACAAGTGTGGTTTGTTTGAATTCAGCGAACGGGAAGTTTGCAACTGATTAGATTGTGTTAGCGAGCAGAAACCGAGAAATTCCCAACAGGGGCAAGAATTTGTTTTTAGGACGCAAGTATGAGTAAAGCAATTTGGGAGGGAAAGAGCACAACTTATCTTTAGACCCTCATAATTTCCACTCTTTTATTTTTGTTTTTGGCGAGGATTGTCCAATACCACGGATCGTAACGAGTGACTTGTCGCTCCGTATGATCCGTACGGATCATGTAACGGTCTGTAATGTATTCACTCCTAACGCGCGAGTCGTCTACTGTATTCACGAGTTGTAAGGTCGTAGTGTCGATCCATGAATGTTATTAAAGGGACTCCATCGCTTGACAGGCGATGGCGGATTTTGTCGTTTCGTACGATCTAATTCTCGGGTCGTGTTGTCCATCCATGAACCTTATTGGAGATACTTGGGTTTTGTCTGGTGGCCTGATGGTGTGTCGTGCACTTCGTGCGGTACTTTTTTGAACAAGAAATACTCTTCTTGTTCGAGAAATTCGTGCGATGCTTTTTATGCCCTTGTTGTCTGTGCACCAAGAGCGTGATCCCCTCGTGTCATACGCGTCGACACATTAAGTCATGGCCAGAGAGACTCCAAGTCTCTCTTATGAGATTTGCGGATCGATCAGAAAACTTGATTATTGCAAGTAGAACGTTATTTCACATGTAAAGCTGTATTAAACTATTATTATTCTGTGCCAATGTCTTTAGTCTATCATCACTTTTTTCTTTTCCTTACCGAGCGGGAAATTTATTTAAAGGGAACCTGATGATGGAATTAAGAAGATTGTATTTCATAAGTTCCCATCATCTCTTATAACTGGACTCCTAAAACTTGAAAAAAGATAAATTTTTAACCCCAAGATTATTCCCTTCTCCCACCTCTTCTAATACAACTGATGATGGCATCGAGCTTCAACCAAAGGTAATAGGAAGAGAAACAGGAGAAAGATTTCTCTCGTGAAATTATTTGTACTTGACAATGCAACATCGTAAAAAGTACACTGCTTGCATCTACAAAATTTGATTATAATGATACTACTTTATAAGTGTAAGCGCTACATCTAAGGAAGCAAGCCGTCAGTAATTTTTTTTAAATTACCAGCGCTAATTTTGAAACAAAAAATGAACTTCGCGTTTTTGCAAGTTATTTGCATTCCTTTGCCTGAATAGTGTTTGAGTAAAGGGGGAAAGTTTCTAAAGAGATTGTGGTGCTGCGTCGGTGGGAGAGCATAACAGGGTAATTTAGTATTATCAACTGAGTTTATCACGTAAATTGGCCACCGTAAAGAGTTTAAAAGCTGACGTTTCGAGCGTTAGCCCTTCGAAAATCGCTCTAACGCTCGAGACATCAGCTGTTAAACTCTTTACGGTGGCCAATTTATGTTATCAACTCAGTTGATAATACTAAATAACTTTGTTTTTGAGTAGCCTGGCTAGATATGCAAGTTCAAGTATTTTTAAACTAATGTAAAAACACAATAACTATCTTGTATACTTCAGCGGTTTGCTAAATTATGCAAAAACTGAAGTCAACACAGTCGTCAAGGGCTCACTTATTGTCAACATGGCGAGAGGACTGGGAAGGGTTGACAACTGTACCCTTCTTGAACTGTACCTTTCTTGAACGCAGCTCTTCAATCCTTTTTTTGTTTTTTCAAAACCAAGATAATTGCACGCGCCCGTAGGGCGAGTGCAATTTGTAGTCTTTTCAAAAATTACGAATGCTTACTCATTCCAAATTGTATAAGAACAATCATGTCACTTCTATTTCGTTTATAAATGATCAAATTTTCGAGATAGCTTCATCTGATAATGCAGAAACAAAGAAAAGGTGAAACACGTACAAACATGAATCATCAAAAACCTGCAAACATTATTGTGCGTTCGGTCAAATCAAAGTGTTAAGTCAAAAGACAAAATCTTCGACATGCCTTTCTTTTTTAAGCTATTAAAAAGTTCGTTACCGCCTTTTCACTGAAATAACAAAGTTCTGCATGGTATTAACTCTCTTCTGCATTGGTGTTGCCTGAAAACTGTATTGCAACCAATCAAAATGCAGAAATTTCCTCATGTATTTTATAAACAGTTGTCCTCCAAAAATGAGATATTCCGAACATCACGTTAAAAGTAAAGGCTATGTATTTTTATATAAAATAGTACTTCAAAAATAAATCCGCTATGCAAAATACACTGCCTAATTCTTTTAATTCATACTTCGTATTTTCAAACCTTACAAAATATTCTAACCTCAATTTTAGCTTGGTACAAATGTTATCAGAAGGCATTATCAGCTGAGACGTACACTTGTTCAACAAAATGCAATTTACGTCCATATTTCCAACTTTCGCCTAAAACTACACGGCTGTTATATTACACTTATATGTTCTATAATCAAAAAAATGTTATATGGTAAAAAAAATAACCCATTTACTTGTCAAAAATATACAAAATCATATTAACTTTAAAACGTCTTAAGTAAAAAATAGAGGGTTGTCCAATACACCCAAACCGCTGCGAATAGTCAAAGGCAGTTGACGAATCGTCAAACCGGAAGTCGATTCGCGGCCAAGTGGTGATGTGATAACGGAGGTCTCAAAGTGTTACAGACGGGATATCACAGCTATGCTACAGAAAAGAACTCTTCATAGCCTTGGCATTTTAGAAAATGTTGATAGATCAATCATGTTCTATGACATCTGAATTACTAATTTACAGTATTCACCGACCAGCCTTATCCTTTGTATTAGAGTTTATTGACAGTTATAATTAAACGACATTTGTCGTAAAGTTTACTCACCTTGAACAGACTTTGTTTGTTTATTCCCATCAATTGTTTTACTCTTTAAAGAAGTGTTTAGACCTTTTTCTTTGGAGA